TAATTGTTATTAATCTGTGGGTTCCATGTATATTTATACTACTTACTGAAAAAAGGTATAGATAGAATTTGTGTATTAGTCCCATGTATAAAAAAAGTAATGCTATTTGAATTTAAAAATCTAATCTAATTTGTTGACCTAATGATGTGATTTTAGTAAAATCATTGAATTAATGTCAAGTTCCAATGTTTGACGGGATCTACAGTAAATCCAAAAATCATCGTGAATTAAGTCAACAAATTAGATAAATAAATTATGTCTCAATAGCATTGCTCATATACAAAAGGAGGTTAAATTTGAGAAAGGTTTGTTAAAATTAATCCAATCTTCCCTTAAAAAAATATCCAAACATGCCCTAAAAAAAATCACAATAATGGGGCAGTACTCAAGTTGAAGGTCGGGTTTGCATTGAGTTTGGATTGAACATTTCATAACTTGGGTTAAATCGGAATTTACCTCACAATCCATTCAATTTACTCGAGTTGCCTCCTAGTGTCTATGATTTGATTAGTTTATGGATCCTACTCGGCAAAATCATGAATAGGAACATTCTACAATTTTGAAGCTTATTGAAAACACGAATAAATTATAAATTCAGACATTTTGAGTTCGAAATTAGGTAATTTTTTTGGAGACTAAGTTATGAAAAATTTATTTTTTATGAATTTTTTAATTTCGGTATAGAGGAAATTAGTCAAAGTGAGTATAAATTAACCTGAAAATTCCTAACCATAATACCAAAAAAAAAAAAAAAGAGCCAATTTTGAAGCCAAAAAATTTTGGGTTGTTGTGCATAACATGCGTCTGCATGGTCTTCACTGAAACATTAATCAGTATTGTCACGTGAAATAGTGAACCCCAACTGAATTAATCAAGTGATTTTTTGTCTGATTACTCAACCGTTAAAAGTCGGTGGAGCTGGACACTGTCTATATTGTTTAGTATCCTTATATATTCCGTTTACTTAGGGTTGTGTGTGTCACTGTTTTTGTATTCTAATGATTAGTAAATAAGAGTAATTCGTACTTGAAATTACGGTACAATATGAATGATTTTAAGATGGATGTTAGTGACATTTGGTTGAATTTATTTTAGGCCGTCGGATTGGTTTATTAAAATCTGTCCTATTTTATATTATAAATTATACAAATTTAGTTTACATCGATTAATTTGGATCGAGATTCTTTCTATCTCAAGGTATGTATTTTTCTTGAGATCAATAATTATCTTTAGACTACGGTATAGTATTGTAGGCGTTAATATACCCACAAGTTTTAATTTTTTTGAATTAATTTATAATTTTTTGGGGTCAAGTTGCAATTAAGTGTAGTCAAGTATGATGAAAATTTTAAGATTGGCCTAAAATATTAAAATAATTCCAAACTATGCATTTTTATTGTAATATAATATTAGTTTATAATAATATATAAGCACTGTACTAAAAAAAAAATTTTGATATCAAAATGACTTTTTGAGTAGTGATGGATTTTTTGTGATCCCTACTACTTAATAAAATGTCAGGTACACCATGTGGTCCATGTAACGAGACAAAACAGTGAGAAATCTGATAAGGGTAAAATTCTTGCCACGGGCCACCAACAAGCCCGAAGGCCAAAAAGTCACAAGGAACAGGAGGAAAAGTTCATTAGCTCAACTGGGAGCGCCTTCCACTAACCTAAGACAGAGAGCTGAAAGGACGAACCCCGACGGGCACCCGAGGAGCAGTGGTCCGAACTTGGCCCAATTAGGTACCAACTGAAGAACAAGCCGAAGAAGAAAAATTCGGATCTCTACCTCGGAGTCGTCCCGCCGTGCCACGCGTCCAGAGGACAAGGAGACCATCTCTGAAACCTGCGATGACTACATCCTCCAGTGAGCAGAAGAAGGTGGAACATAACGCCCTAGAGACTATGGGTGCAATGGCGCCGGCTAAAAAAGGCTTTTTGCAGGCCAATGGCAGGAGATCCCCACAAGATCAGTTAAAGGTAGAAGAAACCACCAGAAATCACAAAAAGAGACGACCCATATATAAATAGAACATTACCCTGCAAAAAGGGGGATCCCCAAGGGAGAACATAGAAAAATCGAGTCCATACTATAACAAGAGCCTATGTACATTGGAGCTTTAATATACATCATTAAGGAGCAAGAGATTCCATTAAAGTGGATGTACTCTCGGTCTATCGGTTGAGGCGAACCACTTATCTTCTTCTTTTTCCCTTTGATTAGATAGTCCAACCACTTAAACTCGCTTCCACACTAAACCCAATAACTTCACTCACGTTGAGTTAGGGCTGTGATTTTGTGATTTCCGAGACGCCATCAAAATCAAAGGGAGTCTTTCTCACTTACTATATGCGTTTGCAAATTGATGTTTGTAACTGGAAGGAGTAATTTGTACAAGTCCCTAAGTTTGAGAAAGTAGTGAGCGTAAATTTAAACAGCTTTTAATAAAAAAAAAAAATTAATGTTTGTAACTCGTTTTGAAGAAAGTGTTGATCTTTTTTTTTTTTTGGTAAGTAAAAAAATAATAATAATAAAAAAAAAAAATAGAAAGTGTTGATCTTGGATGAGATATAAATAGAGTTAAGGAAGTATTGGTCATGGAAAAGATAGGGCGGAGCCAGAGTTTCTTTTTAGTGGGGATAATTATCAAGTTAAAAAGAATGATTACACAACAATTATCAAAAATTATTGCATCTAGTGAACGTGATTGTTTTCTCGAAATTTCATGCTTTATAATCAAATATTCTTAATCTAACACATTTTATAAAATAATTCTTTATTATTATTTTTTATTTTCAAAGATTTAACATATAAATACATGTGAAAAAGATAAGACTTGACAAAGAAAAACTAATATAATTTTTTTTTTGTATAAAGTGCTACAATAAAGACAGTTTTCATAGCTTACCCAAAAAAAATATAATTTTCATAGAGAATACTATTTTGACATATCACTTTGCGAGTGAGTTTGTTAATGATAAAATTTTGACTCATTTGAATGATAATTTGTCTTGAAAACTCTATTTTAAATCTAATCTAATTATTTGATTGATTTCGATTTTATAATTCATATTCGAATTCATTAAATATTATGAATTTTATCAAAAATTCAATCAAAAAATATATGTGTGTGTGTGTGTGTGTATGCATATCAAATTGAATCATAATCAAATCAATTTTTTTAATGTCCAAAATCTTAGAATATGATGTAGTATATTCGAATTTTGATAATTGGTCAAAAATATTAATCTATATCTTAGTAATCGAATTCAGAGAATGATTGATTCGGCAACTTAAGTAAGTTAATGCAAAATAAATAGAGATAATTAAAGACTAAAGAAAAAATTGTGAGATTAAGTCTGTATGAGCAAACATTGAGTTTAAGTTTTTTAGTTCATTAGAAAAAAATTGAGTGGGGGCAAATTATTAGAAAATTTAATTTTTATTATAATTTAAAACTAACCATAAAAATTTTCAAATTTTCAAAATTTCAATGGGGCAATTGCTCCCACTGCCCCCACCTTGTCTCCGTGGCTCTGCCCCTAAGATAGGAGTAAACATTAAATGCAACGGTGATACCATGTCACAATTGATGACATGATATCACCAATCAATAATAAAATTAAAAATAAAAAAGGTAAATTCCACTTGAATTTATATGGAAGAAGAGTAGTGAGATATTGCTTACATGAAAGATTAATTATTTTTTTTGTGGGGTTCATTTATTGATTTGTTTTAATATTATTGATTAATGATACCACATCACCTAACCATGTGGTATCACCATTGTAATGAATATTTTCTCCTAAGATAGATAGTAAAAAAAAAAAAAAGACATGCGATAAAAACAGATTCATAGGAGAATAGAAAATTTTGAATGAGAAGTTAAATGAATTAGTATTTTTTAAATTTTATTTTTAAAAAAGATAACTAACTTAGACTACTACTATTTTATGCTATTTAAATAACTAATAACTATTACTAATGAGAGAGGACACAACCTGTTTTCTCTTCCTTTATTAATAGCAAGAAAATGTTATTTGCACCAACAGTGTAACTTTATTTAACATTAGAACTCAAAACTAGTTAAAATTATGGTAATAAATAAGGTCACTAATTCGATCCTCAAATTAAGTCTATATAACATTCCTCTTTTCTATTAGTGTTTTTGACGTACGGGAAGAGGTGGCTCCAATTTTCTTATTGGCCCTCCTTTTGGATATAACTAATTAATCAAATTCCTATTGTTTCCTTAAAAAAATAAAATAAAATAAAGTCTATGTAACATTTCTGTTGATAGTTTAGATTAACCATTGCAAAAAGATTGAGAAGTCAAATATAATTTAGGTGTGTGGTATTATTGTAATGGAACCATCGAGGCCCCACCACAGCTCAATGTTATTATTGGCTGCAGCTATCTTGCACCCCCTCTGAGCATTTAAATCTGTTAGTAGCAATCTCTCCAAAATAGGATAAAGGATGTATGTCTACTTATCACTTATCTTATCCGGAATATATTGAAATACATTATAGACGAAAGAATTGTGTACTAAATACGTCTTTTAATTTTGTAACGGACGAAAATTCGCAAGTGTAGAACCAGAATAGCCAACTACTTTTGCATATCAAGGAACACTAAGAAATCCAAACTTAATCCATCAAGTGGGTCATTAACTGCGGTGTCTAGCTTATGCACGGAGGCTATAGCTATAAGAGAAGTATGGGCCAAGCACCTTCACGTGAAGGTAAAATCCTACGTGTGTGCGCGCGCGCGATTATATCAGTATTAATACATTAAATTTTATTAAAATTTCGTAATTAATCATATTTAAGCAAAAATAATACTAAGATAAGTGACGGTTAAAAAATTCTCATGTTGCATCTATTCTTTTTTTTTTTTTTTTTGTTAAAAAAAAATAATTTAAACTTGTACCGGGATCGGCTTATTAATGGAGAATGTTAGGATAATATGTGGTACGTGAGTTGGTCTGTATGTTTTGGTGGCAAAACTCTGAGGACAAAGAAAGAAATTCACCGCATATATAGAGGTACCTACGACTCTGGTGACGGTGACTCTCTGTCTCCTCGATCCGTCCGTCCGTCCGTCCGTCACGATAATTAGGTATATACGAAAATTCATATTTCATTATTCGATCTTTTGTTTTTAGGGTTTTGATCTTTACCACATCGATCTATTCGAAGGCACCAATCTGATACACAATCAGGTAATGTGCCATAGAGTTTTTTTTTTGGGGATAAATTCAATTTTAGTCTTAATTTGATTTTGTTGATGGATGAATCTGATTGATTAGATTTTATATTAACAGTTGTACCTGAATAACCCCAAAGTTTTGGTCTTTGCCCAAATTGTCGACATAGAATTTTGCATTGAAATGAGCAATAGATTATTTCTGGCTGATTAGGACTCTATACCATTGGAGGACAGGAGTTGAGTTTTAGTGATGTAGAATTAGATTGCAGAGGGTTTATGATGGTGCGGGGGCTTCAATTAAGGTAGACATGAGATTGAGTTTCGGGGTTGGGAAAAACAAGTCGGTGTTGGATTAGCGTTTGGATAGTTGTTTTACCATTCTATGAAATCCCCTATTCTGACATTCGGGGCTGCTTGAAGAAAATTAAGTGTTTTTCTTTTATATTGGACAATGAAGCACACATTTCCCTGCATACCGTTCTCCATCCCCTTCATCTATTTGATATCTAAATTTGAGGGTTGGGTTTCAGGTTGAAGAAGTTAGCATGACTCTCAACCGGTCTTCTGTTATTGACATGCAACAACTCATGTATCAATTAGTTTGAAGTAGGCTAATGGAAATTGATTTTCTTTCAATGGAGCACATTGATGCCGACCTCCCTCCCTCCCCCTCTCTTTTCCCTTCTATTTTGTCGGCCAACGTAATGCTTCGGTAGTTTGGACATTTTAATGCTATCTTCTTTGTCCTTTAATCCTTGTACGGAGTCTCTGTGTGTTGAATATACAGTAGATTGCCACTTCTGTTCTTTGTTCTTGTGCGGTTTTCACATGCTTATTGGCCTCGGAGGGACCTTTTCATACTACATTTGTCAATATTGTCTTTTTTATTTCACTTATTTTCTTATCTTATGTAAACTTACCATATTAACAAAGTTCTCGTTGTAGTCTTTTACTTGCTTGTCAATTTGTTTATTGTTTTATTTGAAAATATAAAAATTTTGTTCAAAACTTTCAAACATCCATTTCTATATCTAAATAGCTTGTAAGCTTGCTTGTCAAGCAGAGGATTCTTGTAAACAGCTAGAAGTCTTTTTTGGCTTTTTGCCAATGGAGAAAGGAAAAGCTTCTAGCCTATTTGCCAACGACGGTTCATTCATGGAGAGGTTCAAACAGCTTCAACAGAAGAAGGAAAAGGAAACGGGTACTTTATTGGAGGAGTCTAAATCTTTGCCAACTGTATCAGGGACCTCAATTCCTAAGCCTGTAATTGGTAAAACCAGCTTGGAATTGAAGGCTAATGATTCACGTAAAACCAGTATGGCTGCTTCTGGTGGTAAACTTGCCTTCAGCTTGAAACAGAAATCAAAACTTGTGGGGCCCCCTGTCAAGTTAGGTGAAGATGAGGATGAGGATGAAAAGGATGCTGGAAATCAGTCAGGTAATGGACAGACAAAACGGCAGAAATTGGGTCAGCCTGATGCATCCGAGCAGTCATCGAAACAAGTTTATGTTGGTAATTACTTCTTTAATAAGCATCTACCCTTCTTGTTGAATTTGGGATAAGTTTTGGTGGGTCTTTTGTCATGTTCTCACCTGGTGCGCACACAGCGGTTGCATTGCATAGGCACATTACTATAAACAGGCAATACTTTCATGCAATTGATTTTGGTTTTAAATGTGCATTTAAGTAATCATTATACTTTCATCTTTATATGCCTATAACAAAAAAAAATGTGAAAGATCTTTATTCTCCTGCAATTCCGGTGGTCTCCTTGCTCAATTTCTCTCTGGACTGATGCTTGACTGACAAATTGGGTGAAGGCTTTTCCATATCTTGATTTTAATTTTTGCAATTGACCATATGGTTAGCTCTATGACAAAACTGGACAAAGACAGTGATTAGGCAGAAGGCCAATGTTCCTTTCCATTTGATAGCTGTCCATGATGTGTAGGAGTTTGCTGTCCCAGATCGTTTGTCCAATTGTTCTTGCGATTTTTGAGATGTATTGGCTCTTTTGCCTCATTTTCATCTACTATTTTTTCTTCATTTTCTTTGTTATTTGAGTGACGTCTTGACTAAATTCTGGTTGTCTTGCTTTGGACCCACAATTTATTTTCCACGGTGTAAGTCATCATTTGTTTGGTTGTCAGAGGCAACTCTGCTGGATTTTTCTGCGAAAATATTTATGACGCCCATTTCTTGTCCTCTTGATAATGCTCTTGAGAAAATTATTAGGCCATTCTGCTCGTCAACCGGTGGATAAGAGGACAAAACATTCTTGAATTACTCTTATCTGATGAATGCAGCTTATGCCTTAAGTCCTCTATCAACATTGGTGGCAAGAGACTGGAAAATGTGGCACGCCTGCTAGAAGAGTAATTTTCATTCACTTGTTCATGCTCTTGGTATTAATCAGTTCTTTAAGTGACATGCAGCACCCTCTTCCCCGAGTGACCCTTCAGTGAAGAAAGTTGCTGACAAATTGGCCAGTTTTGTTGCTAAAAATGGGAGGCAGTTTGAACATACTGCACGACAAAAAAATCCTGGAGATACCCCTTTTAAGTATGTTCTCTCTACTTTATTACTTCATAAGCTGAGTTATTTGCTTTCAGAACGAGTTTATTCTGTTTTTTTACGTGCTCTTCTGGTTACTTGTGAACTCTTGATGTTAATTCAACAGCTCAAGGATTTCCATCTTATTCTGGTTCTAGACTATGGGAAGTAAGCTAGTATCATTTATGTAAGTTGGTGAAAAAGTGTCACTGAATATTTAAGAATCACTTGATACTCGATGAATATTATTCTTCTAATAAAATAGACATTGTTGCAAAATATTGAGGAAACACAATAATTTGGAAATTTATCCTTTGTTTGATGATCTTTTGGTAAAATTTAAGTTTCCATTAGATGTTGTCTAATGCTGTATTTGGCTACAATTTTCTCTATATTTTCTTTAGACGAGTATAGTGTTTCTATTAGTTATTTCTTCAAAAAGAGAAATCAAATATATTGTCCATGCAAATGCAAGGACATTTGGTGTTGAAGCAGGTGAGCATTTCATTTATGTTTTAGCTGTGAATGTTGCCCAACTTCTTTGGGGGGTTAATCTTAGAATTGAGCGTTATTGAATATTGGTCAGAGAAAGCCCTTTGTGCATTTGTAAGGGGCTGTGTTGATTGTTTTACCTATGGGTTTTGACAAGGGGAGAGAGTTGAAATAAGAAATTTCTCAACTTGCTTGCAATTGGTTTTTTTTCCCCCCAATTCATTTGTTTTTCAACTAAAATATTATTTTCATCTATTGGTATTTAAAGAATTTAGAATGTAGGGCCATCGAAAACCATTACCTAGTCTGGTCCCTTTTAGTCGAGGATGATGGGAAAGGGAGTGTAGACTCGTTATAGACTAATATCTGTCATTGTTAACACTGAGTTAGTACCTCCAAGTGATTACCCTTAGATTTCAACCCACATCCTCGTTGTTATAGTGAGTTTTGAGCCCCTTATGACTTATATGAAGTATCTAGCAATGGCATCCTTGAAAATTTGAGAATCTACTTTGGAAAATACTCTGCTTTCCCTTACGGCAAGCTTTAGTAAATTTTCATTTTTTTTTTATTTGTGTGTCAAGTGTTTTTTGGTGGTTTATAGTATACTAGGAAGCACGAATATGGATACGATATGGATACGGCGATACAATAAAATCCTAAAAATTAGGATACGGGTACGGTTATGATACATCTACAAAAACATATATATTATATTTCTACTATTATGTAATGACTTGATAACTATTATTTTTAAGGATTTTTTAACAATAATGAACAATATTAACAATTTTTTATTTTCAAAAAGCCTTATAGTGAATATGATTAATTAAAGAAATAAGAACCAACATTTAACTAGATTGTTTACTTACAAGTATTTGTTGCTAAGATTACAGTGTAATCAACTCATTTATATTTTTTGAACATGTGGTAGTGAATAATATTTGGAAAACATCCATGTGTCTTCAAACTTCAAAGTCATATAGATTATTGTTGATGTATTGCATTGTATGTGAAAAATGAAAGGAAGGGATAAAGATTAAAATTAAAAATTACACGTACTTCTATGCATACAGAAGTATCCGCGAAGTATCCATATATTTATTTATTTTTGGATACATTTGGTGTGTATCCGATATATATTTTCGAGTATCCGACGAGTATCGTATTTAATACGGATACGTCGACCTTGACAAAGTATCCGTGCTTCATAGATAGTATGGAAAATATGACCTTTTGGTCCTTCATTTGGCTTTGGGTTTTCCTTTTTGTTAAATTTTGACCAGGGATGTTTTTCCACCTTTTGTAATTTTGGTGTTTTATTTTATTCTCTGATTTTTTTAACTGTTACTTGCAGGTTTCTATTTGATGAAAGTAGTGCAGATTACAAGTACTACGAATACCGGCTTAGCGAAGAGGAAAAGGCTCTGTCACAAGCCAGGGATTTCCAATCATCCTCCGCTGGTTAGTACTTTGATCCACATCTTGTGGTTATGAGTTAAATATAGCGGCTTTGCTGTGGATGATGCTATAGTAGGACCACAATTTTTCTGCTGTTATGTAGAACTGTGGCAGTGAGCAGTAACTGCTTCTTTATATATTGAGCACGGAAGCACGGACACTCTCAAGAAAGTGGTGTATCCGTGTTGGACACCGACACTCTCGGACATTTGTCCGATATTCTTTTATTTGTGTCTATAACTAAATGATAAAATTTGAATTTCGGACAAGTGTCCGACATTTATTTGGTGACGTGTCTGACACTTCTTTAGAGTGTAGTCTGTGTCTACTACTAAACAATAAATTAGTGTTGACATTTGATTAACAAAATTTAAAAATTTGACTACTAAATATCTATTAGTATGAGAGAACATACAAATTACCAAGATTAGACTTGTTAAAGTTCAAAATATAATAACAATATCAAAAGATACATTAAAGATTTAGAAAAGAGCAATTGAGAAAATGAGAGCAATTATTTAAATTATATATGTTTAGTACACTTCTACAAAAAAATTGATTATTACTGACTATTATGATGTTAGTCCAACAATTTACATTAAAAAACTAGACATACCATTTATTTATCTTGAAGTACTGATTTTTCTATGAATAATATATTATTATCACTATATTGTGATAATATAATTTTATATATAAAATACAATTATATATAGCGTGTCCCCAATCTATCCGTGTCCTATTTTTTTTAGAAATGTTGTGTCCGCGTGTCCCGTGTTGTGTCATATCCATGTCCGTGTCTGTGCTTCTTAGATATTGAGCCATGAGAAACCTATCTTGGCAAGATATGATTAGAAGTATAACTCTAATTCATGTCTTGTCGTGCATTCTGGTTAAGTTCAGAGTAATGGTGTATGTATCTTATGAAAATGGTGGACCATATAATTGTAATATGGAGGACATAGACATGTGTTAAGTCCTCACTCCTCATTAATGAGTTTCTGTGTGACAATTGTTGAATATTGTCCTGTGCATTTCATGAGGTTTGATTATGATTTAATCTAGGTTAAATTAGTTGTGACATTTCATTCATTCATTTTTTGGGTTGCATGCTCTCCTGCCATACAATTGGGGCACATGTATTACTTCTTATTTTATTCTCTTATTGGATTGTTTTTTCATTGTGGCCATGGTAGGTTTTATTCTTATATGTTCACCATGTGAGGCCTTCAACATGATGGGGCCTTTAGGTTTCCTTGTTACACCAACTGTGTCATCATGATCAGACTTGTGTCACCTCTTTTTTTTTTTGAAGCATGCAATGTGCTTTCAAGTGGAGTTATTTATTAGTTCACTCACCATAACTGGCTGTTTTCTAAAATAGGAATATTTTTTTATTCTCTCTTACACAATTGGTTTTCAAACAGCATTTTTACATAAATCTCGGGCACTTTGTCTCTGTAGGTGCTGCAAGCTCTCCTACTCCTAATACACCAAGTGGTTCTCAAAGGTCATCTAATCAGCACTCGAATTATCAAATACCAGCCTCTGCTTTATATGAAGCTCCTGAGAACACGAGAGAGCCAGCATCAACTGGAGGATCTGGTAATGTTATTGAAAATTGTATTCCACTTATTATTTGTGTGTGTTTAGTTTTGTGTTATTGATAGGGAACTGTATATCTTTCATCATGGGCCTTTAGTGTGACTTGTTGATAATTGATACCCATGCTCATCCTCTGTTAGGGTTTGTGGGAAGAATGAGACAAACTACGACCTGATTGCCTTAGATTTCAAAGAATTGTTTTTATCCCAAAAAACACATGCATGATAAAGGACAAAGTTCATATTCTATTATGTGGGGCTGACAAGGGAGTACAAAATATAGCAAAAAGTTCAGGTATAGAGACTTGGATGGAGTATCTATAGATTACTAGAGTGATACCCAACTATTAACCTATAAAATTCCCCGTTGTTAAATTTGGTCCCAAGTCACTCGTCACAAAGGTCAACTTGTTCTTATTAGCTAATACCCGAGGATATATTCAAATCTTGTAATTTTTTTGTTTAGATTCAAAGAGCACTTGGAGCTTATATTTCTTATATTTCTATCCTCTTTTATTTTGGACCTGCTTTTGCTTTAATTGTGTTGATCCAGACTATACACTGAGAGCTTTCTGTGTTTCTTATTCCTTCCTATACTTCTTCCCAGCCAATCTGACCTCCTCCCCTTGCTTTACAATTACTTATAGGTTTGACTATTGTGAAATGTAGTTTGCTTCGAGTGTCTTTTATGGCGATCAACTACTTCACATCATGGTTCTGAATAATGGTAACGGTCATCGTAACGGTATTGGTAACGTCGTAACGGATGCGGGGTTTAACAGGCATTACATAACGGTAACGGATACCAGAGTCATGAATTTTAATGTTCTATTCACAACTCTATCTAAAAATGAAGTTATGCATATTTCAGCTTCAAAAATATTTATATATAGTATTTTAGTGGTTTACAATTTATTTTTCTACTGATTTTAAGCCAAGACGAAAGAAAAAATTAATAGAAAAACAATAAAAAAATAGAAAATGTTTGAATCCAATTGACCGGCCTAGACCCCTTTTCCAATTAACCAAGGTCCCAGCCCACCTCTTTTTTGCAAAACAATTGTGGAGCAATAGTTACATTCCATACAAGTACGACACGTGTATAAATAAGTTCCAGCTGGCATCCTTATCAGTTCACAACCAAAACCCTCATCTTTTTTTTTTTCAACTGGAACCAAAACCAGCAGGTTTTGTGACGGTTTTGCAGAAGTGCAAAACTTTTGTATTATACATCTTTTGTCTCTCGTCTTCTACATTTTTGGCTCCAATAAGCTTTTGCTGATCCATAGAGGGAAGAAGAAACTGTGGAGCATTAGCGAGCTTTTTCTTCCCTAAGATCATAACAATCTTCGACAGTGGTTTTTCGTCAACAAAATGAGGCTTCGAAATGAGGGTGGAGAAATTAGTGTTGGTGCCGGCAAGAGAGTGATACCGATATTGATTGATGAGCTTCATCGATTTATGATATTTTGTCAGGTTTTTCTTATCAAACAAATTAATTTGATTGAAGATTGTGTTCTTTATCTCAGCATGGCTTGCAATTTGGGATTTTTTTTGTGAAAATTCTCACGAATTTTGAGAAAAATTAGACAAAACAGGGCAAAGCTATCACGGGTCAACCCATTATGATCCGGTAACGGTCGTTACGACCCGGTAACGGCCATTATGAACGTAAATTTCTTTCTCCCCGTTATATCGGTCCGTAACGGTATCAACGCCCTCCGATTCCGTTATGTAACGGGCGTTTTTCAAAACCCTGCTTCACATGCAATATTTTCTAGTTGTTTATAGAAGTGTTGCTTTTTGATGGCTGCCTTTCAATTTCTCCAGGATCAAACATTTTGTTCTTTTACAAATATTTTACGTAAATAATATCTCATTGAAGTGCAGATCCTATAGCAATGATGGAGTTTTACATGAAGAAGGCTGCACAGGAGGAAAAGAGAAAAGAACCTAAACAGTCAAAAGATGAAATGCCTCCACCTGCTTCCCTCCAAGGTTTATATCTACTATTGTGGTTGAGACTAGACACATTCTTATGTTCCTTGGAAAACTTATGTTTGAACCTTTTTATATTGCCAACTGCTTCCCTAAAGATGCTTCTTCTTAGTTAAATTTTATTTCATATCAGAAAGAATGCTTCAGATTTTCTCATTTTGAGGCATTACAGCAGCTCCTGGGAAAAAAGGTCATCACATGGGTGATTATATACCACCAGAAGAGCTTGAGAAGTTCTTGGCTACCTGTAATGATGTGGCTGCACAGAAAGCTGCCAGAGAGGCTGTAGAAAGGGCGAGAATCCAGGCTGATAATGTTGGGCACAGACTTTTGTCTAAAATGGGTTGGAAAGAAGGTTCTCTCTCTCCCTCATATGATCTTACTGAAGCTATATTTCTGGAAGAATTAAGTTATGTTTGCTACATTTGTTGGCGACAATTATGTACTTCATTGGTAGAGTTTACATTTTCCATTATTTGCTCTTGTAACACCAACCCTTGGCATTACAGTTGTCTAGATTAATCCTTATTCGTTGTTGAAAATGGTTCCCCTTTTCCTTTGGGGAGGAATCTTGTCGGTTGAAATAGATTATCAGGCAAGTTAGGTAAAGCAATATTTAATTGTAGCTTGTATATATATGATCACACCAATTTTTGATAATGAAGTAACCTGCTTTTACATGTTTTAACCAAGTAAACTTGGGGTATTGCAAGCATGTGTGCACTCAAACCGTGTCTGCATTAACTGTTTTGGTAACCAATATTTTGCTGTTTCTGCTTTGATTGAAATTTGGAGTATGGTAAAATTCGTAGTTTGTGGTTCTAAAACTGGAGTTTTGTTTACTGCCTGATTTGGGCCACAAGGACCATCCCTGAGGTATAGAAAAAGTTGTGTGTAAAATAAAGGCAAGCGCTACAATGCGCATGCTTCTGGCTGGTATGATGCAGTACTAGCTCACAGAGTTCGTTATGAGAAGTCCATTTTTAAGGAAAGTTTGTTTTTTCTCATTTGTATGGGCTGCAGGTGAGGGTTTGGGGAGCTCCAGAAGTGGTATTGCAGATCCAATTATGGCAGGTAATGTGAAAAAGAACAACCTGGGGGTTGGCGCTCATGAACCTGGGGAGGTAACTCCGGATGATGATATATATGAGCAGTACAAGAAGCGCATGATGCTTGGCTACCGTTACAGACCAAATCCTCTGGTATAACCTCGTCTTCATTATTTCATAGATGAAAATATATTCCTCTGTTTAAAACGTATACAGTGAATTTGGTTTTTAATGGTGGCTTATGACGCACTTTTGTTTGTTTGTTTGTTTTTTTTTCGCAGAACAATCCCCGAAAAGCATACTACTGAGGAATGCGTTCACTTGTTAAACTTCTACTTGGTCTGCCTTTCACTATTAGAAGTTGAGTTTGTTACATTATTGAAGCAAATGTAATCTTTTTTGTTATATTATTTCATAACAAACTTGGTTTTGGAGATCTGAATTTTGATGTAATGCTACATTATCTCCTTTATCCACTTCAATTTATTATGAAATCTCGTTTTTCTACCATTTGGCTAGGAATTTACTCGTTCCCCAGAAAGAAATTGTTTCCTTGATGCCGTCTACTTATTTCTATGATTTTTTTAGCTGTAGATAATGGGGAATTGATGCACATGTACTTCAAAGCAGGACAAAGTCTCCATAAACTGCCAATTACCTATGTATTGTCTGGTAACATATTGTTGAAATTTTTTAATACAAAAAATTATTTCGTCAAACAAGTGTGAGCATATTTTAACTATCATATGTTGGCTTGTCAATGGATTAGATTTTGATTTGGATTCGAATTTGATTCATATTTGTAGGGGTATTAATTGAAACGAGTTACTTGAACTCGATTCAAATAAGACACAGCTCGAGTTTGATTTATGTTCTAAACGAGCTGAGTTTGAATAATTTTTTAGGTTTTTTTTTCTAAACAAGCCTAAAAGACTCAATTTAAGTTCGTAAAGTTCGATTTGTTTATATGTAAAATAGTAGAGTTATTCGGGTTCGGCTCAGCTCGGCCCAAGTTTTAAACAAATCGAGTTTAAACAATTTTTTAGGCTCATTCAAAAAAAACAAGCTCGTCAAGCTCGGGTTTAAGCTCATAAAATTTTGCTCAATTAATACTCTTATAATTTTGCTCATAAGATTCAGATTTGGATGTACTTACTTCTGCTTCGATTATAATCTGATCATTATTTATATTTTTTATATAAATATTAAAAAATAAAGTAATTATTTAAAAAATTAAATTGAAATTTCGGTGTAATTTGTTAAAATTTAGTTAAATTAATTATTCGGATCGGATTGAATTTTTTGATTAGATTTTGGACGTTAGCGAATTTGGATATTGACCACAAAAATAAAATTTATCGAATTATTGGATAAAGACACATCTATAAATAAGTGATATATTTCCTTACGATTATTATGTTTGGAGGAAAAAAAAAATAATTGGAAGAAGGAAAAGGCGAAAGAAAAAAAAACATGAAACAACAACTACCTAAAAAATAATTGAAAAATAAAAAAAAACATGAAACTCCATCGAATGGCTGATAGCATAAAATTTCATCTTCTAATGTTATTAGGACTAATTTTATGATCTAATTTGAGATATTAATGCATTTAAACTATTTAATTAATTAGCCGTAGAGATTAACATTGAATGAAGTCCCGTATTAATTAAATAATCACAATGTATTAAGGTTTCAAATTAAATCTCAAATTAAGTACAACTAATATTGTTATAACCTTTTCAGAATTTCTTGCCAAAAAATTCTTAGGGTCTCATAATATACGAAAAATGTGTTTTGTCACCTAACAAAATATTTTTATTGTCTTAATATCATAATTAACTTTCTAACTAATTGTCTATTAGTAATACTTATAAATTGTAATTTTATAATTTTCAGATAAATCTTGAGGTCATTTATAATCTAAGTTAAATATTTACTTAATTATTTTTTTTTAAAATGCACAAAATTACTAATAAAACAGAGTATATCACTAATTATTATTATAGTTGTCTTGCAAAATTTTCTTATTCAAACCTATTTTGTTCCAAAAAAATAATAATTTTGTTAGTCAATATAATTTTAATTTTCTTTATATTTATATTTATCTTGAATAGATAATGAACTTAATTATATTTGGTCGAGGGTTCGACTTTAGTAAGTAAAATTTTCATTTCAATTAGTATTTTTGTGTCTCAAAAAAAAAAAATTAAATAAACATGTTTTAATATTTTCATAATTACTTACTATTTAGTGACATATTGTGCTAGATTCGTAGCATATAGCATTGCCTGTAGATTATTGCTGCATCCAAACATTCCCGAACTGATTCCCTCCCTTTCCAAACAGTGGGTGTGGGCATATACTTTTATCATATCCATGTTCCATTTAATACGCATCTAAGTACAAGATGTTCCCATCTACTGTTTCATATCCGATAGAAAATATTTAATATAAAGGTTATACTACGTCATCGTCTTAAAAAAATTATGTAAGATTAGTAAATCCCATCAAATTGTATATCTGCTAATAACTTTCACATTCAAAACTTCTACACAAGAGGAGTAGTGAGGTTCACTTGTCTTATTTATTTGTTTATTATTAGTTGTTTACATCAAGTGGCGATTGCTTAACCGTTGCATTGAATATATACTCAAATTTAAAGCATGCCCAAAAACGAAAGATGCCAATGGGCTAAGTTTATTGATATCCAATTAGAGGAAACAATATGGTACCAAATTTTTACTTTTTATATCACACCAAATAATAGAACCCCCTGAAAAAAAAAAAAATTAGTAGGTTCCACCCAAAAAAACAATAAGCTTCAACCTAAAGATTAGGGGTGTTCACCCTACTCTACGGGTAAGAAATATGGGGTCTTCCTACTCAATATTTTACATAAAAAAATTTTCTCGGCATACCCTACTCGATCAAGTGTGGTATTCCTACCCAATTTCCAACCAAATTAATCGGGTTGAATTATTAATATTTGGATCATTTTAACAATTCAATTAAATAACATGCACCAATTTAATAACACAATAAACCAATAACAGTACAATCTAAAACAATTACAACAATAATTATAATAAAACACAAGAAAGTATAAACATCAATCCATCATAATTGTTGCTTAAATACAGTAACAATTATTTTAAGTTTAAACTATATGATTAGGTCTTTAAAAAAAAAACCAATATGCTTAGGAAATTATGATTTTTAGTTTTTACATATTTATAAATTAATTAATTAATGTGGGTAGGGTAGAATAGGATAGGATATGAATACGAAAATTAATGATTATTCCCCGTTTATACTCGATTTAATCGAAAGACCAAAAAACTCTTCTGCATTCTTATCCGATTTTTTCAGCTAGTTGTTCAATACGGTTGAGTAGGGTCAGGTATGGTAGGAAATTACGGTTAATCGAAAATTTGAACATCCCTACTAATGATGGTAAGTAAACTCAAAAAATAGTAAGCAAATCCAAAAGGTAAGTACACTATGAAAATTAATAAGTTATACAAAGAAAAGTACTATAAATATCCCAAAAAATGGTATAGTGGTATGATACTAAATTTTTTTTCGATACTGGAATCAAACCCTCCTATCATAAATGTACTTTTAGAGGGTCAATCCGAGCGCAATTAAATTTGAAAAAAATTACTTTAAAATTGAACCTGTGAACATAACTCAAATAGATCTAGAATTTTAACAAGATTGTAAAAGCTTAAAATGGAATGGATAGTACCCAAATATATTGGGGTTGAATTGAAACATTTTATAATTTTTGTGTCTAGATTGGGTTGCCAATTAGTCTTCTTTGCACCTTTGTCTGTGATCTCTCGACTCTATCTATTTAAGCAATTGTTTCCTTATAGTGAAGATTAAAGAAAATTACTTAAAAATGTCACATCTACGTAAACGAGGTTAGTATTCTCGTAATCAAATTGGTCTAAATATGTTACCACTGTACTAGGTCATGATTCCAAACCGAGTTATACTTAGTAGTCTGAGAATTTGATTTGTTCAGCTTGTAAGAAAGCTTTAGATGGGTATGCATCACCATCTTTTTTTTTTTTTTTTTAATTACAAAAATAAATATAATCAAGTACACAAATTTTAATTCTCGCGTTCATTATTCGATAGTAGAACTTTGTGTTCGTATTTCCATCCTTTAACAACATCATTCTTGACTTGTGCTGTCAATTAATCTTTTTTAATCTAACTAGCCTCCTTCTTTGGATAATATTCTCGAAACTATTTCTGTTGATGATAGAAGTTTTTATTCTATGTGCGGTCTACTTATTACTTGCTTCACATCAACAGTGGAAAGCCAATAAACTTGATTTCACACACCTCCTCCAAAACTCTAATTTTTTTGTATTCAAATGATAAGTAAAGTTGGATTAGTCGAAGTGCACGTAAGTTATCCCAAAACACAAATTCCACTTTGTAGTGATTATTCTCATGACTTTTATGTGACTTTCTTAGCCAAAATCATACTAATGGTCCGTTTGTTAGGGTGGATAGAAAAATAAAAGGATGGAAAGTGAGAAAAATACACTTTCTATCCTTCAAGGGTGGAATTAGTTCTTTCCTCCTTTGTGTTTGATAAAAGAGATGAAAAGTAGGAAGAATTGATTTTTTTTGTGTTTAATAAGATAGAAAGAATATTTTCTTTTAATTTTTAATTATTTTTTTTCGAAAAAATATAAATACATAATATGTAATTGATAAATATGATTTATGTATATAATATATATAGATAAATAATATATATTTCAACACACAAAATTAACTTTTCATCCACTTTTCTTCTCAATTTTGGAGGGATTGATTTTGGTGAATTAGAAAAAAAATTAATTCATCAACTTTTCCATTCTTTCTATTTTCCTTCCTTATCAAACATAAAACTTTTTATCTAATCTCAATTTTGACTTTTTTTATAAGTTTAATTACACCCCATTGAAGAATGTTGTTGCTAGCACTAAGCAAGGTGATTCTAATCTCAAAGAGCAGGGCATTACGTCAATTATGGAGAATGGAAATAAGGAGCAGGTGTGCCTTCTTCCACCAGAGGTGGGGAAAGTTGTGCTCAGAAATCAATCACCATTGCATAGCAAACAAATTCATCTCGAAAATTAATTCAAAGCTCTATAAGATGACAACTCCGAATCTTGCATTGGTTCACCAGATCAATCCATTATTGAGGTGGTCGTATGTCAAATTGCACCAGACCGAGCAAACCAACAATCCTTACTTTCATCTTCCAGTAACTTGGAGCAACCAGTCAAAATTTCTTCAAATTCAAATGACAACCAAATGGAAGGCAAGAGGGATAAAGTGGACAGCTTTGTCTCGTGCGAATTAGAGCAATCGATGGATGAATATTGCATGGAATTGACCTCGGCAAAGTGTAAAATAACGTAGATGTTAAAGGATATGGAACAAGATCTTGCAAATCACCAATAGGGCGAAAGTCTTCTGCAAGGATTGTCATTAGACGGAGCAAAT